AACAAACATCCCTGGCCCTCTAGTAGAGCCTAATTTTGTTGTTTATTTACTTACAAATAAAATTAATTTGCACAGATTTTTTTGAAATAATTTCCTGTCCAATCTACTAAGATTGATTAGTTGGGTATTTCGCCAAAAATGGTCAATTTTGCCTAATTTCCTTGGTACGAAATATATTTTTGTTTTTAACTATTTTTAGTTTCCCATTGTATTAAGTAACAAAAACTAAGCTAATGTATCTAAAAGGGGTGTCATAATTCGTTTTAGAAACAAAGTTATAAGGTCATGAATTTTTGGTAGCCAAGGAAATTATTATAAATATTTTTTTTTCTAAGTTTTCTTCTGTGGTTTGCTTTTTTTTTGTTCGACCCATTTTTGTGTACCTTCGCAAGCAAACATACCAATGAATATTGTATCATTACGACCTTTTTACACAACTAAGGAAGATAAATTCAGTAGATTGAGTTAAGAGTCAAAAACAAGTTGTTCTATATCTATTCTGATACCCATTTCTTAAAATGTAAATTTTAAACTTATTCCAATAAAGAAATACTCAAAATTTGACTTTACGCCGAATTAAAAATGGTCTTTTATAATTTCCTAGGCCTATTTATGCCACGGAAAACAAGGAAATTAGGGCCAAAGAAATTAGATTTATGTCTAAAAGACACCACAGACCAAAACCTATTTACCCTATGCATTTACTATTTAAATCATGGGTTTACCCCTACAGACACTACATCTGTGTAAATAAACAATAAAATTAATCCATTGTTAGCTGCAAAAAACCGTCCAAAGAAATTGACTTTTTAGTAAACAAAAACCCAAGGAGGGGCCTACTTATGCGATTTGTCGCGAAACTGTTCAACGAAGTACTGTCCTGCCTCGATGGCCTCTTGGGACGAAATGGCCGAGTGTAACGGTGCAATGCATTGCATTCTAAGTTCTTTCGTTTCGTTACTACAATGATCGAAAAGAAGACCCAGGGAAATTATACTTTTGACTCGGACAAGAACTTAATTTCACTTTATTTCCTTCCTTTAAGTATTTTACGTTTAAAGTTTTTATTTTCCGATAGCCAAACGTTTCTCAAATATAAAGAGAGTGCTATTAGAATGAAATTACGCTTCAATTTGTTATAATGAGCCTTCATTTTGGCAAACAACAGTAATGGACATAACAAGGAAATTAGAAAAACGACTTTTGATTAAGTTTTTCTACGGTATTATTTGTAGTTTCTGCTATTGTAGTAGCAAAAACAAATAAAACTTTTGATTAACTTTCCCATAAAAATAGTTTTATACATATAAATATAAAAAAACATGTGTTCGCCTGCCTGGACACAGAAAATTTACTGTTTCGGCGAAATACCCAGTTAATTAGTTCATGTTTATTTTTATGTATTTTTTTTTTGCTTTATTATGTTGAGACAGTCTTTGAGTTTAAACTATTGTGGTCTTTAATGATACCGAACCTAAATACATTCATTAATTGTGTTTCTAAATTCTAATTTATCTTATTAACTCGATAAATGGGCTATCTAACACTGAAAGAATTTTTCAAATCGGACCAGTAGTTCCGGAGATTAGCGCGTTCAAGTAAACAAACTCTTCAGTTTTGTAATATTAGTAAGCTTTATATATTATACTAGATATCAAATTATTTATTTTGTATTACATATTTCAAATTCCAGGAGGGTTTCTACAAGGACACTGGCAACTGGTATATTTGCTGGGAGTGCTGGGCCGTGATGACCAGGATCTGCAGGTTCCGGAGCCAGGCCTGCGCCGCACAGAGGCAGCTGGCTGATATTGTTGACGGACGGGTTGACGTTAGTATAGCATAATCATATAATACCTAGCACAGGAGTTTTTGAAATCTTATATTTTTATAATTAAAACAGGAAGTTAAGGCTGAGTGCCATCTCCTTAATTTTAATTGTAATATATGTAATTAATGTAATTATAACTTTAGCAAGTTTTTGATTTTTTGTATGGAGTTTGACAGATTTTTGACTTGATGTGGTGGAACCCAGGGTAAACATGGTGGAAAAATTCACTAGTCATGTTTCCTGCCCCCCTAGACAAAACGCACTTTTTGATCGAATCGAAAATCGAATCCGTCAAAACTCCATACAAAAAAGGGCCTTTTCGACCACTTTTCAACTGGTTTGCGATTATAATTTGCACTTTGTCACTGAAAATGACAACTCAAAACTCTTAAAAAGTTACTTATGTGGTGTTGCAATTTAAGCAACATTGTTAAACAAATAAAATAAATAAATAAATAAACATTATCCTTGCTATCTCCTCTATGCATTATGCAATACCTTTCAAATACCTGTAGATTTTAGGGCTCCTCTGTTATTTATTAATCAAGAGATTTTATTTTATTTTTTGAACTCATCTTACTTACGACTACAATTTTGATATTTACAGCTAAAATTCTTTAACATCTGCCTCTCCAGACTATCAACCGTACACAAAACATCTTATGATGATACTATTTTGACCGATTCTGATCATGAACTCTTAGAAAACTTCATTGACTGCGGCCCAGACATCAAGACTGAAAGTGATGAAGACATTCCTCTATCTGAATTTAATAACACCTCTTTGCTCGATGACAGAGAATATTCTGACACTGGCAGTCAAGAAAAAACAGTGCAACCTGTGTACAAGAAAAGGAAAAAGAACCCTGACAGCTCTAAAAAGAAGTCAAACAAAAACAGTTGCAAGGTTGATAGCGATAAGATATGTTTTATAACAACAGAAATGAGCATAGAAGAAATGCTGGAGAGTAGAGAGAAAAGAAAGATGGCGTTGTGTGCGAATGCGCCATACAAATGTGAGTCGTGTATTGAGGTGTATAAGAGTCAAATTGATTTGGATAAGCATTTTTCAGAATTTCATACTGAGGTGAGTTTTTATGTACCAGATGATCCTAAAAACTATGCAATCGATCAAGCTAACTGCGCACGCTGGAATGCCGATAGCCGAACGGTGAAGGGGTCGTACTGGCCGACTCGTGATCCGGGGAACGCGGGTTCGAATCCCACCGCCGCTCGACTATTGTGGTGCTAACGGCAGTATTAGTAATTACACAAATTACTAATAATCTTAAAAAAAAAATGGGACTCTCCCACCCACTCATTCGCGCTCGCCTCGTCCGTACCAGAACGGCGATGTGACGTCATAACGCCAGTTGCGCAGTTAACTCGACCGGTTTATATTTATACTAGCTTTCCGCCCGCTGCTGCGCCCGCGTGGAATTTTGTCTGTCACAGAAAAACTTTATCGCGCGCGTCCCTGTTTCAAAAATCGGGATAAAAACTATCCTATGTCCTTGCTCGGGACTCAAACTATCTCTATGCCAAATTTCATCAAAATCGGTTCAGTGGTTTAGGCGTGAAAGAGAGACAGACAGACAGAGTTACTTTCGCATTTATAATATTAAGTATAAATTTTATCTACTTTGTTTCTTTCAGAAAGGCACACATACTCGATGCGATATATGCATGTCATACATGCCAACTACAGCGCTACCAGCTCATAGAAATGCACACTACCTCAAATATACATGTGTACTGTGCGACATAACAGCATACAGTTCCTTGGATATGGTGGACCATTTGAAAAGTATCCATTCTGTGAATGCGACTGTTGTGAAGAAAAATAAGGTATTTGAAATGTTGGTTATGAACCCGGGATCTCTCGGTGTAGTAGTCCGTTTCGAACCACTACACCAAATGGCCGACAAAATGCAGCAGTAATGCAATAAGACTTGTTTCAACTCCAATCTAAAGCCCGGTCTGTGAGCACGTAGAATTTTGTCCAATGACCCCAAGCTACCCATCCTTATCGCTCGCGCGTAATTATATTGCTGTCGCGACTGTGCGACGGGCGCCCGCAGTGAGTGTGCGAGCGCGACAGCAACATAATTACGCGCGAGCGATAAGGACGGGTAGCTTGGGGCGTGGCTTGGGGTCATTGAACAAAATTCTACGTGCTCGCAGACCAGACAATAAGTTAACAATATGTATTTTATAAAACTCGTTTGAATCAGTTAAGGCGCTACCTCGTAAAAGTTTTCGGCCGACTGAATGCCTCGCACACAGAGGGATAGAAATATGATTTCTCAGTGCGAGGAAAGGGACAGCAATAGCGCGCGCGGCGCGGAATAAAATAACGTAAGCGACAAAAATCGAAAATCATGTATTTATTGAAAAACCAAACACTATTTAAAGAAAATAACTCGACCAGTACTTAGAATATGTTATTACCTTGCCAATATACAAAATTTGGTATTGAAATATTAGCCTATCTGCTTATAAAGCGAAAAACCGAGTAATAGAAGGGTCATCTTTGCATTTTTTTTTCTATCGAGAAAATTGTTTCCTTTCATGTTTCGGCTTCGACCAGACACTAGATTTATTAGTCAACTATGACATATTTCAAAATAAGAACATAAGTAATAAGAAAAGTACGATTAAAACTAATTCTGCGCTTCTTTAAAACGCCCAATATTTCAAGGCATCACCTTAATGTCGCTTTATTGATATTTATTTATTTGAAACCTACAGGATGAGAAGGCACGCGTGCCCAACCCGGGCTCGAAGCCGCGACGGAAGGCGGCCATGATGGACAAGCGCACGCCGCTCGGATACCAGTGCGCTGAGTGCGACAAGTACTTTGAGTAAGTTTACTTTTATTGAAGACTAGCTGCCGCCCGCGACTTCGTACGCGTGGATCCCGTTTTACCCCCTTCATCTATCTTACGCGGTTTAGATTTTTTCATACAAATAATTTTTCCCGCTAACTCCCGTTCCCGTGGGAATTTTGCAATATCCTGTTGTAACTAAGCTTTAAGTTTACTAAAGTACCTGCATGCCAAATTTCAAGCGTCTAACTTAAGCGGTTTAGATTTTTCATACAAAAGGATTTTCCCGCTAATTCCTGTTCCCGTGGGAATTCCTAAGTATACTATAACCTGCCCAGGAGTATGAAGAATAATTGTACCAAGTTTCGTTAAAATCCGTCGAGTAGTTTTTGTTTCTATCAGGAACATACAGACGGACAGACAGACAGACAGACAGACAGACAGACAAAAATTTTACTAATTGCATTTTTGGCATCAGTATCGATCACTAATCACCCCCTGATAGTTATTTTGAAAATATATTTCATGTACAGAATTGACCTCTCTACAGATTTATTATAAGTATAGATACCCACATATTTACAAGTAGGTTTTGCGCGTGAAATTTTGTCTGTCACAGAATTTTTTTATCGCGTGCGTCCCTGTTTCAAAAACCGGGATAACAACTATGCTATGTCCTTCCCGGGACTCAAATTATCTCTATGTCAAATTTTATCAAAATCGGTTCTGTGGTTTAGGCGCGACTGCGTGACAGACAGACAGTTACTTTCGCATTTATAATATTAGTAGGTAGGGCCGATGTACAACTTTTATAGAACACATTTTTCTGATATTAACTCAATTACCTTTCAATCGACTGTTATTTAGATTTCAAATTAAAAATAAAGTTGGTATGTTGAGTTTCTTCACGAGATTGAATCAGAAATGAGGAGACCCGTAAACGAACTAAATTCGCTGACATGGTCCGACGGATTAGCAAGCTGAAGTGGCAATGGGCAGGGCACATAGTACGCAGAACTGACGGCCGGTGGGGCAGCAAGGTTCTGGAGTGGAGGCCGCGTACAAGCGCAACGTAGGACATCCAATCAATAGACGTCCCCTGCTGGACAAAGGCCTCCAAGGATTTCCAGAACGACCGCCCGCATCCAGGTGCTTCCCGCGATCTTGAACAAATCCTCGGTTAATGCAGCCTGCCTACACATATTTTATAAGCCCATACATATTATTGTCACGTTTCACATAATTTTTATGATTTTCTAATATTTTATCTTCATTCAGGAACAAGAACCAAAGATGGAAACACGTCCAGCGTAGCCATAGAGAAGGCTACAAGTGTTCGGTGTGCAGCAAGCGATTCGCGTTCAAGAACAACCTCACTAGACACGAACAGTTAGTTTCTTTTTCTAGGTCTTTTCTATGACAAAGCCTTGGGTTTATCTCGTAGGTGATAAAAGTCCACTTGATCAATGAAAAAAGGTCGTATTTGTTCACCTGGGTGAATCAATGCCTATGTGAACAAAGGCGACCGCTTTGGTCGAATCAATTCACCTGGGTGAAATGGTTCCGAGGTGAAATGAGGACACTAAAATCTCCACTTTGTTCATCTAGGTCATTGGTTATTTGAGACGCGCCCCCTTTCGACCATACAAAGAATTCCCCCTCCTCTAGTCAAGATTATTTATTGGTCGTATCGAGCGGTCTGGAATGCATTCTCTTAGCGGTCGCAGGTTTTTTATACTTAAGTACACAGATGGCCCGCGCTCCTCTTTAAAGGTCTTTGCACCTCCCCTGGGGGGCGCGTCCCTCACTTTGGGAACCAATGATCTAGGTGAACGGGGAGGGGGGACGTCAGATAGTTTGAACTACTTGTGAAGTAAAATGTCCAAGGAAAAAGCAGTTGTTAGGTATTTGTCTGTTATGGTTTCACTGTATGTTTTCCGAACAAAATAAATATTAATTTATGGTGTCTCCCAGGATGCACAAAGGCCCGCCTCCTAGACAGGAGTGCCCGCAGTGCCACAAACAAGTGCGCGTAGACCTTATCAAGGTGCACGCCCGGATACACACAGCCAGGCAGGGCTTTGTGTGCGTGGAGTGCGACAAAAGGTATATACAGGGTGGCTTTGAAATCGTTGGCATCCTTCTAAATAATATAAACTATAACTCAAAGGTGACTGACTGACTGACATAGTGATCTATCTATCAACGCACAGCCCAAACCACTGGAGGGATCGGGCTGAAATTTGGCATGCAGGTAGATGTTATGACGTAGGCATCCGCTAAGAAAGGATTTTACGAAACTCCACCCCTAAGGGGGTAAAACAGGATCCTAGCGGACGAAGTCGCGGGCGGTCGTTAGTCCTTTTAATATAAGACTACTCATGATACATAGTGCATTCATTATTCAATTTTTTTTTAAACATTAGTCGTTTTTCAAATTAAATTTTAAATGAACGATTTCGTGTTCGATTCCCGCCTTAGGCAGTTCGATTTTTTCAAGATGTTTATTATAAATAAATAAATAAAAGGTAAATAGATATTAAAATAGACAAAGTGACTTACCTTAAGATTTCCGCTTAGTGACGCTGACATAAATAAGGTACTTGATACAAATAAGGCCTACGTTCTAATAAGGCCTATGCATAAGAAAACACAGATAAATAAATCCAACCGGGATAATACTTCAAGGACACGTACTCATATGCCCTATAACCCGGTAGAGTGCAAGAGCGTCCCGATCCACGATCCCAGTACCAATTGGCACACGTTCTTCTAAGGTGGTGGGTGATTTCGTGCTGTCTTATAAAAATCTGTCGATTTCATCTTAAATTTTCGGTAAAATGACGCTGGTTTAGATTAAGCTTTTCTTGGTAATCGTTTCTAAATGTTTCTTACTAGCTAATAATTACCTTAATTTGTACTACTGGCTATAGATGCATTATTTGTAAATTTTTAAAGACAACAAGAGCGAGATATCTAATAAGGCCTAGGCCTTATTTCAGCATGGTAGGCCATATTAGATACTTATGTTAACACCTGATTACGGACAAATTCATTAAACTAAATGAGTAAAAGAGTTACTAATATTTATTTAATAAGAATGTTACTAACAGCACAGAAAAGAAAAAGAAAACAGAGTCGAAAAAAATTACAAACCCTGTAAAAAAAAGAAAAAAAAATACAAAATCAATAAAAAAATAAGAAAAAAGCCGTATGTATAATTCTAAAGGAAAGAAGAATAAAAGCTGGTATTATCATGCCTGTCTCGAAGACAAAGTAGCAGATATGCGACCATAAAGAACTGCTTTTGGTGGTATCACAAATATTGTGTAGGAGTTCGTAAAGATGATTCAGAGGCCTTTTTATGCACTGGTTCTAATAAAAATAGAGATCTCATTTTGTTTACAAAAATTCAAGACTAAATGGTATTCCCAAACTGATTTATTTAAAAGGTTTTATGTGTAGGCCTTATTCGAACACGGTGTTTTAATAAGCCCTATACAAAAAAATAATATTGTTTGTTTTTGATATTTTTTTCAATAATATATGTAAGGAATCATTACTTTGTTAGTCCACGGAGCTTACATCCCTCCCTGTGTACAACTTTACTTACGAGTACTACACGCAACTGACATGTAAAATTTGCAAGAAAAAATCAATTTGGTGTAAAAAATGCGCCACGCACTAAAGCATCCTAGGCTATGATTTATGTCTTACCATATACAATAGCTCTGAATAAGATTTTGGTATTTTTTTAGTAAATGAGTATAACTTACAACTCCTTTTTAACTCTTAAACCTAACAAAATCATAGTATGTTTTTTTCTCATAGTAGTAGTTGTGGTAGTAGTCCATTCTCCGACCAGGTGTTTAAACACCACCCATTTTCCGGCTTTTCCAGTTGACCAAGAATTTTTCTAATATTTTTCTGTGGATACTTGACCTCTATTTAGAAACATACTAAAAATTTATAAAAATTGACAAGAATAAAAAGTTTCAGGAGTATCTGGGTTAATATTATCTATAATTTGTGTATAATTCGTGGTGGAATAAGTGGAATTTAAGTTTATCTAGAGATATACAGTATATTTCTGTTTACTAGTTATGTACAATTTTAATAACGCAAACAAATCGACGTTTTTAGGGTTCCGTAGCCAAAATGGCAAAAACGGAACCCTTATAGTTTCGTCATGTCCGTCTGTCCGTCTGTCCGTCTGTCCGTCTGTCCGTCTGTCCGTCTGTCACAGCCGATTTACTCGGAAACTATAAGTACTACAGTGATGAAATTTGATGGGAATATGTGTTGTATGAACCGCTACAAAATTATGACACTAAATAGTAAAAAAAAGAATTGGGGGTGGGGCCCCCCATACATGTAACTGAGGGATGAAAATTTTTTTTTCGATGTACATACCCGTGTGGGGTATCAATGGAAAGGTCTTTTAAAATGATATAAAGTTTTCTAAAAAACATTTTTCTTAAAGTGAACGGTTTTTGAGATATCAGCTCTCAAAGTCGTAAAAAGTATGTCCCCCCCCCTCTATTTTTATAACTACGGGGTATAAAATTCTAAAAAAAATAGAGGTGATGCATGCTAATTAACTCTTTCAACGATTTTTGGTTTGATCAAAGTATCTCTTATAGTTTTTGAGATAGGTTGATTTAACTGTAATTTTGGTTAAGTTATTGTGCTTACACTGAAAACGATGGCTGAACCTTATAAGATAGATCAAAAAATATACTACAGTATTGTACACCTTTTAAAATCCGCGATGATATAAAATCTTTATAATGTAGGTACTTTTTACGAGAAATATTAGCTTATTCAAGCAATACGCCATTAATCCTTATCCAGTAATGTACCTTAAATACATTGTGCATTTGATAAAGTTTAATATTACAAATGTGATTGTTGAGTAATAATAGGTTAAACATATCCATCGAACCAATATTTTTAAAACGCGTTAATCCTATAGATTATTATTACATCGATTCAAGAAGATCGGTCGCTCGCTGCGCTGCAGCGCGTGAGTTGCGGGGCGTGGTCTCGCGCGGGAGCGGGGATAAGATAGCTAACCGCGTCGACCCGAACGGGCAGACACGTGAGGGCAGACGTCGTTGTCACTTGTGCGCGCTAAGAGAATTTCATCGTTCCCATTTACTTCTTTCGCAAGTCGAATTTGGCGTTGAGACTTTTTAATATTGAATTGTACCTATTATAAAAAATAAGTAAGTAGGTATACTGGTTTAATAGGTGCTATTAAACCGGTCACGTACTAATAAATCCCCCAATAATATAAATTCCTTTGTTTTTGGTGCAAATTTTAGTGTTTCGTAGCAGGTTTTTAAAATTTCTAAAGCTTATTGTATATCATCTAACAATGGATACTTTAGATAATACGTTTTCCTACATTCTGAATTATAATAACTATATCGAAGATGATGTGGTTCGCGCATTTCATGAAAAGTTACTTCGGTGCACATCATTTAGACCGCGTGAGCTAGAATTATTTCAACACCCTGAACTGATTGAACCTGTACCTAAAAATGAGACGCACCTTCAAGTAATTTATGACGGTGACGTGGGATTAGTGGGGCACTGGAGTTGTATTTATTACATTAATGGAATACTGCGTGTGTACGATAGTCTTGTTGGTGTTCTAGGAAAATCGCAAAAAATATATGTAAAAGCCTTGTTTCCGTATCTATCGGAGTCATGTATTCAGTTTCCAAGTGTTCAGCGACAACCGAATACTATTGATTGTGGTTTGTTTGCCATTGCTTTTGCCACCTCTTTAGCTCGGAATATTTATAAATACATATATAAAATTAATATTCATACATAAAAGTACAAGGCAAAATATCGGGAGAGTTTAGGCTCCATTCACCAGGTGTATAAATTGACATAATAAGTTTATTATATTTGCTGCTACGGAACCCTTTATGCGCGAGCCCGACTCGCACTTGGCCGGTTTTTAATGATAAAATACCACATTTTGTTTAATACAACCTCAATTTTAAGGTCTAGAGGCATTTGAATCATATAGGCCTTATTCCGTGTAGGTGATTTAATAAAGCCAAAATCAGTGGTTTCGTAATTTGCTTATTTTGAAGAGATTTAGTTAAAAATTGTGTTATTTTTTGTAATATTGCTAAAATTAAAGGATGGAAGAAGTTAATTAACCTTGTTTTTGTTGATTGGCGTTAATATTTATTAAAATATAAGCATTTAAAGTTAGGTAGGCTTTATTTGTATCAAGTACCTTACTTGAGTTTTTACCATAATTTGCATGCTTAAATATTTTTGATTTGATTTGTAGGTTTGCGAGTCGAGCGTCTTACGAACATCATTTAAAGTACACCCAAGTGCATGCTCCACAGTTGCTGTTAAAGTAAGTAATTCTTGAAAGAAAGAAAGAAAAAATATTTATTTGGTAACTTAAAATATTTTTTTTTCTAATTTTTTACTTACCTATATTTTTTTACCAGCTGTGCCCCGCGGTGTTACCCGCGATAAAACGTAGCCTGTGTTAATCCAGGGTGTCAGCTAACTCCGTAACAAATTTTATTAAAATCGCTCCAGACAAAGAAGTAACAAACATACACACTCACAAACTTTCGCCTATAGAATATTGGTGTGAATTTAAACGTTCATAAGTGACAAATCATAAAGGTAGCAGGAAGGCGCTGGATGCAGGCCGCTACCAACCGGGCGATGTGGGAATCATTGGGGGAGGCCTATGTTCAGCAGTGGACGTCCTGTGGCTGAAATGATGATGATGATTGGGCTCCGAAGGACACAGTCGAGTTTTAGTGGGTAGACCCCGAGGAGAGACCCATATAAAATCAAAGCATTTCTCGACAGAAAAAAAGGGTTAGGCTAGTTTCCTGAAAAAATTTTTGTCCGTCAATTGTATCAAAAAATATTGGACACGTATATTTTAATTTGTCAATCAAACAAGCAATTACGAAGGCATGGTGCGTTGAAGTTCCGCGTGACGTCACACCGTGCTACACTTTTAACCACGCCTTGATATCACGTCTTCTTTTGAACTTTGGTGCGCTTTATCTCTGTCAATCTTCATTATTTTGAAAAAGTGAAATGTACCTACATGTCGAGTATTTTTTGATAAGTTAACTGACGGATTCAAAATCTTTTTTTTAACCCAGGAAACATACGTTACTATTCCCACCTCTCGTTCCCACCGCTGCAACTCCTGTGTAGCCAGGCTCTACAGCTTGACCGCCAATAACCCAACCAGTGAAGGCCAAGTTTGTCCCGGGGAAAAGTTAAACTGTCATTGGACTAGTGTTGCCGAACCGATAGTTTTCATCTGAAAAAGCCTTATCTATCGATAGTATCGACAGTATCGATACTATCGATAGACCAATCGATAGTCTTGCGATAGTTTTGCTATCGATAGACTATCGTCTTAAATGTTATTCTGAGCTTTGTTACGTCTTGTTTGAATAGTGTAATTGGTACTACCGTTCTATTCATGAATAAAATAAATAAATAAATAAATATATCGATAGTCGACTATCGAACGGTAACACTACATTGGACCCGCAACGAAATTAATCAAAAGAACATAGGAGAAGTTCGAAGCCAAGAAACGTCCCTATTTTCGTGATATAGATCATCCTTTTGTGTCCCTCCAGGTATAAATGTGCGACGTGCGATAAAGGTTACCGGTCACGCGGCGAGTTGCGTGACCACGTCAATTATAAGCACATGGGCAGGACGCAGCACAAGTGTCCCATTTGCGGGAAGGTAAGGACGTAGCACACTTATCAACCCGGAAACGGATCGTAACCGTATCGAGGCGGTCAGTATTCTTTGTATGAAACTCCATACTGCAACGCACACTTATAAACGCCTCGCCTCGCGGTTGACAGCTCGCGAAAGGCGATGCGGTGTTGATCCCTTTCAGAGTTGATAAGTCAGACTTAGAGTGTTTTCACATTAGGGCGACAGAAGCGTGACAGCAGCGCGGCAGCGGCGTTTTTATAATGTGAAGGCATCCGCTGTCACATAGTATGAAATTATCGCTATCGCTGAAGTCGCCTAAAAGCGCTCTTAAGGCTTATTTTGTAGATGAACATAGGCACAACGTTCGTTTGGTAAGGCCGTGTCCTAAGGGAGCGTTTTAGAGTAATGCGGTCCGGAGGAACCGCTCGCTCCTTAGCAGTTCATACAGATCGGCTGTGCGGAGCGATCCGCACTGACAGGCCGCGTGACACTAAAACCAGCCTAATGGCGCAAGTACACTCTGCGAGAAATTGACAGAGACGAGCGCGAGCCCGCACAATGAAGTATGGGCGACACACGGTGAAACTAACTAAAGTGCGTGTTTACACTATACGTCTCGATCAATTTTCGCATAGTGTACTTGTGCCATATTAGCCTCCGTTAAAACTGGCATGGGTTCTGTATCAAAAATTATAGGTCTCGCTAGACCTAACTCAGTCAGTGCCTGAGGTATGGAAGCGGCACGGGAGGGGTGACATTCACATAATGAGGGCTATCGTTCTTATACTTAACAGTTGGCACCCCTGGCGATTGACAGGACCTTACTCTACAGTGGCGCCATCTTGATGAGCGCAAATGCGATAGTCCTCCTACCACTTTAGCGCTCACCAGTTGGTGCCACTGTCTTCGCTGCTAGCAAGTGACAGGACCTTACTCTACAGTGGCGCCATCTTGATGAGTGCAAATGCGATAGTCCTCCTACCACTTTAGCGCTCACCAGTTGGCGCCACTGTCTTTGCTACTAGCAAGTGACAGGACCTTACTCTACAGTGGCGCCATCTTGATGAGTGCAAATGCGATAGTCCTCCTACCACTTTAGCGCTCACCAGTTGGCGCCACTGTCTTTGCTACTAGCAAGTGACAGGACCTTACTCTACAGTGGCGCTAACTGGTGAGCCGTAAAACGATAGCCCTCATTATGACGTGACAGAGCATACAAATCTGAATTCTCGCAGATATTAAAAATTGACGTTACAAAAACACCCTCCCGTGCTCCCATACCTCAGGCACTGACTCAGTTAAGCATAAAATTACGCGCGAGCGATAAGGATGGGTAGCTTGGGGTCATTGGACGAAATTCTATGTGCTTGGCGAGCGGACTTTACACGTGTACAACTCTCTAATGCAGTGGTTCCCAAAGTTGTCTGGGCTACGACTCATCTAATACAAGTTCCCAAACTCGGTACCCACCTATAGGAAATTTCGCCCGCTGCCCAGTGGTTGGACTAGTAGGCTAGTGTGTCGTTCTAGAACAGTCTTTCCCAAAGTGGGCGATAACGCCCCCTTGTGGGCGCTGCAGGCTTAAATAGGGGCGGTAAGAGACCCAGAAAAAAAATCGGGACGTTGTGTAGAGGCTTGGGAGGCGTCATCTACTAGGAGGACTCTTAGACACCGACTGAGCTCGACTCTTGACTACAAAAATGGGGGCGCTAAAAATAATTTATTCTCAAAGTGGGCAGTAGACTAAATAAGTTTGGGAACCACTGTTCTAGAAGCAGGGCCCACTAATGTTCGCTCGCGAGCCACCACTGTCTGTATTTAAGTGCTAAACCTATAGTGTGTGTGCGTTATTATCATCCTGTACTTGGTTGTATTGTACCTTAAATACCCCCCATTAATAAGGTATAATCTCCAGGCGCTGGCGACACGTCGCTGCGTTGGACGTCACGTGCGACGCGCACACGAAGGCGTTCGAGAAAGCGCGCGGGACAAAGTCTGTCAACAGTGCGGGAAGACTTTCCGGGTGAGCGATATTAGACTTTAAGTCCATGACAACAGGGTCCATATTTAAAGATTCAAAGGTTATTTATTCACCGAGACAAGTTAAGTTTAAGTGCGCGTGTCAAGATCTTCGGGGGAGCACGCCATATTTGACCTTATGGCGATGATAAATAGGGTCTTTATTTGTGTATTGGCCATAAAGTTAATATACCTACCTAGCGGAAAAGCAACAAAGAACTGAGCGAGCGAGGTGTCGCTAACAGCAACACTGTGCGATGCCGTCGGCGTCACGTCAAACAGAGCCAAAACGCAACTATTTGACAGTTAGGAGGCACTTAGTGGTTCGCTGAAAATAAAAGCTACAGAAACGTTCAGCGATTGATTTTATTGGTACAACAAAACAGTGAAACAATCCTGACGTGACACAATTATATCCAGTGTCATCCAAAATCGGTTTCGTTTGACAGCTCTTGGTTGTTCCTCTATTTCGAAGGAATATTAACTTTAGGGTATTAGCACGTGCGGCGTGCGCACGAAGACAGGTTATTTTACATTATAAATAATTCAAAAAAATCCTAATAACAATTACGTATCATTTACCTATTTATTTATTTCTTTACAGGACAAGAAAGGTCTCCGAGAACACGAATTCATCCACACAGGCGAGCGTCCGCTAGCGTGCGAGATATGTGGATGCACCTTTAGGCAGAGCGCGTCTCTATACACGCATCGCAAGCGAGTCCACAAAATATTCCCGCAAAAGAAAAACGTTGAGTTGCTTGAACCAGAGAAATGCAGCTGAAATAACGGTAATGTTCAATAACGCGTTATAACGCACGTTATGAATACTCTAAGAAGAAAAACGTTGAGTTGCTTGAACCAGAGAAATGCTGCTAAAATAACGGTAATGTTAAATAACGCGTTATAACGCACGTTATGGATACTCTAAGAAGAAAGTCGTAAGAGTTGCTTGAACCAGAGAAATGCAGCTAAAATAACGATAATGTTCAATAACGCGTTATAACGCACGTTATGGATACTCTAAGAAGAAAGTCGTAAGAGTTGCTTGAACCAGAGAAATGCAGCTAAAATAACACGTTATAACGCACGTTATGGATACTCTAAGAAAAAAGATGTAAGAGTTGCTTGATCCAGAGAAATGCAGCTAAAATAACGATAATGTTCAATAACGCGTTATAACGCACGTTATGAATACTCTTAAGAAGAAAGACGTAAGAGTTGCTTGAACCAGAGAAATGCAGCTAAAATAACAGTATTGAGAAATAACGCGTTATAACGCACGTTATGGACACTCTAAGAAGAAAGACGTAAGAGTTGCTTGAACCATAGAAATGCAGCTGAAATAACGGTAATGTTTAATAACGCGTTATAACGCACGTTATGGATACTCAAAGACTGAGTTGTACCCACGATCACAGAAACTAAAGGGAGATGTGTCAAGGGGTCGGGGCCGGTGTCGCAGCAATATGCCCAAAAACAGAACACATTGCTGCAGACGTCATAATGTAAACAGTTTACATTGCTTGCGTAGTACTAAAGATTATTCGAACGTTGAGTACTGATACCGCAGTGGAAAATGAGCACATATAGATGACCCAAGCTGAACTGTCCCACCAAACTCAATGACAGGGGGGCGCTACCATCGTTCAACTATATGGTTTCCAACATGGCAAAAATCGGAACCAGCGATCCGGTATTGACGGTGGCGCCCCACTGTCAATGTCATCGATAGGACAGTTCACTATTTTGGAACTATATTTAGATTACTTTGTGTGTGTCAATTTCTAATGCGACACTAATTTCGAACTCTGCATTAGCATCTCTCTATGGTTGCACCACATTACTTTAACCGTAACGATAACCATAACTGGTGTTTGAGAAATGCAGATAAAATAACGGTATTGAAAAACATAACCCTACTTCTGGCGCAGTCGCGTAAAAATAACGCGTTATAACATACGTTATTGATACTCAAAACTCAGACAGAAGAAAAGAAAAGCGCGGAGTTGCTTGAAGCAGACAACGATAGTAGCAAGTATCAAGAAGAGAAATGCAGCTAAAATAACTGTAATTTTAAAGTCTTAACAGTACAGATACTCAAGTATCAATAATTTAAAATGCGAAGAATAAAAATTCACCATAATGTAAATGTTGAATATCACGAAAAATTACTTAGATACTACTAACGGAACAGAAAGTATTAAATTGATAACTACTTTACGTAATGAAGAATGTTCACTAATTTTGTTTTTTAGCTTTCTGTATTCTCTGTTAAAAATAAAAAAATACACGTGAAAGAATTATTTCGATACGTCAATTAGTTTCCAAGATATTGAATTTTAAAAGTGCGGGCGGCGGCCGGCCCGCCGTAATATGCGCGTGACGTCATTTTACAGTGACTGGCTCATATTTGTATGGGTGGAATCTTGCAAGCTGAATTAAGACCCACTTCCAGGCAACCGATTAAGCTGAAATTTCGCAAACACATGTGATTTGGATGACCATGCAATATTATGATGACATGGAGCTGATCTGATGATGGAGCTGGAAGGTGGCCATAGCAACTCTATAATAAAAGGACTTAAATGCATCGCGTTTGGGCTCGTTCATTTTGTATTGATGAGTATTTTAATTCTATATAGTAATCAGGGTCTAATGATGAAGCTGGAAGGTAATTCGCAATAAAACGACACAATCGCATCAAGTTTGGGTTTGGTTCAATTTTAATTTCTGTGATGGGTCTGGGTGTTAATATGCATAATAAGTTTGTATTTACAAAAAAAATGTATTTAAGTATGTTTATATCCGTTTTCTAGTGAGCGGACACTGTGAATGTACGTCACGCATATCACGCGGGGTCACGTGACCGTCGGCGCACGGTGGATCGAAATGGCATTAAAGTGGACATAGGGATTTTTTCCGGAAAATCGAATTTTAAAAATTGCCAATCGATAGTCCTTTGCTCACTCATCACGACATGTCATATCACATTTTTCTCTAAACCTGATACTTTAGCTTAAAAAAAATAATTTGTGTTTTTTTTGTATGAAACGAGACATAAAGTGCTAATTTTCTCCGAAGACCTGCTAGATCGTGACTTGAAACAACCTAGGTCGGTATAACTGCATTATTTATTAATATTCTAAGCTATTTCCAGCTGCTCCAAACCGCAACTTAGCCTGTTAAACGATTCCGAAAAAAATTAAAAATTGACTCTTCTTGTAATTGTATTTTAGTTCTTTTTTTTAGAAAAAGCTTCGATTACGGTACTAGAAAGTGATTTTATCGTTAGGTGACATTGTTATCTATTCTCAAAACCTGTTAAACCCTTTCTTTCCTATCAGCACAAATCTAGCCCAAGGCGTGTAAAAATACGGCTATAGGTGTCATACATGACATCATAGGTTTCTTGTAGCGATGCTTGAGTTGCATGGAAAGAATAAGCATCTTTCATAATAAATTCACGAGATCGCATCACACCGAAACGTGGACGAATTTCATCACGGAATTTAGTCTGGATTTGATAGAAATTTACCGGTAATTGCTTATAACTTTTCAGCTCATTACGTGCCAAATCTGTAATAACTTCTTCATGAGTAGGACCAAGCACGAATGGATTATCATGACGATCTTTGAAACGAAGTAATTCCGGACCGTATTGTTCAAAACGACCAGATTCTTCCCAAAGCGCAGCAGGTTGAGTGACAGGCATAAATACTTCTAATGCGCCTGAACGGTTCATTTCTTCGCGAACAATCGCATCTACTTTCTTTAAAACACGTGTTCCCATGGGCAACCAAGAGTATAAACCAGAAGCTAATTTACGAATCATCCCCGCACGTAACATGAGCTGGTGCGAAATGACTTCAGCATCATTTGGGGTTTCTCTTAACGTTGCAAATAAAAAGCGGCTTGCGCGCATGGAAACTGTCCTAAAGTTAAGTGTTATTTAGAAATACTCAAACGAGCAAAATCATCTACTCAGTTTTAAGCAATCGGCATTATGACATGAATCATTGAATTTCGTGTAATCTAAAGCAAGCTGAATGAATTAANGAAACATATTGATGCTTAACGTTGTGTTTGGGTGAACACCAAGTTGCTCCACACACAAATGCAACTTTATCAAAATAAAATTCTTGTTATTATCTTAGGTAACAGCACAATTGCAAATACTTCAATGAAGTTACCATCCTCAAAGCATTCACAAGAAATACCCAAGTACTTTAAATAACTTTTTGGTTAAGGCTGCTAGCGGCAGTTGGGAAGTTCTAAAATCTAGCAGTAGACTGTAGCTAATTAATTATTAAAATCTGTTCACACTCAAGTTAATTGTATGCAATTTCATGCCAATGACAAAAATAAGCACAGTTAAACAACCAAGCCGCAGTGGCACTGCTAGTCTCAGCCCAACCCTTGCAATAAAACATTAATTCAACTCACCAAATATCACAGCTGATTCCTTTTGTATTGCATTTTCACTCACCATATATCACAGCTGATGCCTTTTGTATTGCATTACCTTCTGTCCAACTCCAAATTACTTATGTGGAGTACCCTTGCTAAGTGTTCAGCTTCACTCTGGTATTGATTGTGCTTGACCAATTTGCTCACCACAGGGCCAACCCGCAGACAGATAAGTCACCACATCTAAAACTCAAGTCAAATCTAAAAATATGCACACACAACATGCTACAACCAGTATCCTTTTCATTAAACAGCTGATAAATAACCTCAAGATTAAAATCATTTTCACCATATGAGAATAACCAACAATAATGACTGGTACACAAGAATACCCTTTAAGTTAAATGTACCACATTCTATATCTTTTTTTTAATTATAATAATTGGATAAATTTTAATCACCCACACTAATTTTCAATTTTAGTGATACAACCTAAATCACTACTGGTAGCAGAAATTAATTGATAAGTTGGAAAAGTTCAATATTAACATTATCTTTACTCAAAATATAGCATCATGTAACATAATAATAATTATGCTTCACAATAATTGAAGTATCAATCACTATAAGAGTACCAAAAATACACCATATGTTCAACGGCATAACTGGCTGCTTTACTTAATTTCAATTTACAAATTAAGCTATTTAATAGATTTTATCTCATCTTATAGTGCTCTACATCAAGAAAGAAACATCATGATACTAAAACTGGTTTACACAACACAGACCTTAGCTTCAATTTACTTGAATAAAACGAATTATTAATTCTTCTCCAAAATAATGCCAAGAGGTTACTCGGGCATGATCACCAAACTTATTTAATTTATCTGACCATATTCTATCCATTCTTTATTGATTTTAAATCTCAACAGGTTATTCTTCGCAGAATGCAAACATGAACCAATGAACACCGTTCAATTTAATTTCTTTTACTAAAATAGTTTATTAGGCATTGCAATTAAAGTGAGCACATACCATAGCTTTCACACACATTCCTGGCATTATCAGTAAAGACTGACAATACTTATAACATTTGTTGCATCATTCACTTCCATGCATTATTTGGCTCAAAAGGAAATGTGTTAATATTGTTGCTGTTAGAATATTCGATAGTAATAATGAATCGTACCTGCTCTGGGGCCATCGTTAGTCAAATTGTTCACCACTTACGTGACCACAAGCCGAGTTACGGAGGGAGTATCTTCATAATTTGCGTCATCATTTGTCGTACTTAAATACTTTTCTGCATCTCACACATTTGTCAGCGTGGTTTCCTTGATATTCTCTCTTCATCATATTCAATTATAATCATAGAATCGTGGGCGTTTTGTGTTAACATTCGTGACAAATAACACGAAACATTGGTCACCTGGAACACTTTGAAATCACGTTACTATCATAGGTTTCAGATCTCACTTCTGAACTATTAAGGGCCGGTAGATCTATTCTCATAAATAAAACACTGGATACTCATCTTTCACATTATATTGCCTTATTTTAGTTACAATTCATCACTTAGCACAAAAGCGCGCGGACTCGTCTCCGCGCGTCCCTCTATTCTGACGTTTGATTCTCGTGTGACATTGACGTATTGTCAATGTCACTATGACAGCAACTCATTGGCCACAACTATATCGTTATTTTAACGTTTTAGATTTTTCATAATTAACAATACCTAGTAACATTCTCAATTGTACACAAATATTATTTAAAGAAATCTGTTATTATAATTATTATAGCCTGACCAGGAACATAAAAACCCTCGCCATGTTGCGGAAAACTAATGGTACTAATTTCTTTTAATGGCAACAGTAACTGAAAACTTCATTGATATGTCACCTTGCATGTCAGTCTATTGCTGTCAAAGTGTAAACAAACTTTATTTTAAATGTGCGCAATTGATTTGGTGAATTACATTGCTAAAATCTTTTTATAGTCGTGAAAGAAAAGTGGTTCACAATGTGTTAAAGTATTTGTCGAAGAGAAATACTAAGGGTTCGGACAATATTTTCATTGAATATTTTTTCCGGCAAGGGTGTCAAATTGACTGACATATTTATCGCATAGTACAGTCCACTATGAAAATTAGCTGTGGTTTGTTTCAACTACCTATTTTAAAGTTTTTTGTCACTTTCTAAGTGTTGAATTTTATGGAATTGGGAAAGAAGTACCGAGTTTGAAGCGTTCATGAGCAGACATTGCAGTTGAATATTCAAGTTCTGAATTTGATTATCGATGAATAATAAAATAAATCCTACGAGCTCGATTGATGTTTTCATTTTATTTATTTAAACCAAGGTACCTATAATAATATTTTTTCGTTAATTCATGAAAATATCAAATTAGCCTGTAATCCTGAATCCTGATACATAAAGTTAGCCTATTAATTTAACACAGGTACGACTGTACTCAGTGTTGCACTATCAAATGCAATTGACGCGCCTCTATGCCAGGGTTTTTATGTTCCTGGTCAGGCTATACAACTTAATAAATAGTAATGTAAATGAAATATTACGTACATAATAGATGCAATAAAATGTTGAGTATTAAATAAAACTCATGAAATTAGCATGCATTTTTTTATTCACAGTGTATACAAAATATCACAGTCACACACACTTTCTTATTCGAATGATTACTTACAAAATAATTATACTGTGACGTGTCACATAGCGGCCTCTTTGACCTAGGTGCCAAGTATGCTTAACTTGAACATTAGAAGAGAGTATAGATAGGGGGCCACTGCTTTTATTCAATATCACATGGGGCCCACTAGCTACTAACTACTAATTGTCACTTGGGGCACTGCTTCCAGTCACATGGGGGCCACTGGTGGGTCACGTCTACGTGTCAGTTTGGCCAGGCCTGTTCATCTCCGCGAGTTTACATCGAAAACAAAACACGCACGATGGCCCACCTACAGGATACTATTCGACAAGGCCTCACATACGAGCGAACATTGACTCACGCACGCGTATTCTTGTGTATGATGGAAGAAAATAAAGAAAATGGTGTACTAAGTACTGTGCAGTATTTAACTGCCTAAATAATAAGAAAAACACAAAATGTACTATTTTAAATTGCCTCAAGACACTGAGAGGTAAATAAGTAGTTAATATTATTCATGATAATTCATGCTAAATCATGTATTTCCTCCGCCATTTTCCGCAGTTTGGCACCTCACGTCACATAATTTTACCGAAGTCAGCCCTATAGTTGTGCCTATAGCTTCGGCGCAGTGCCGATCACTGACGTTTGTCAACAAAATGGTGCTTGACTCTTGAGACAGGCTAAATTACACCATATTGTTAATGACATTGAGCATACATTTTTTTAAATACCTTCACGAAGTAAAACTTCTGTACGTAGTACTTATTATTATTCTGTGGTTTGGCGTAGAATACTGGTGTCATATGGGGGCCACTGCTACTAAATCGTTGTGGATAAAAAAAAAATTAAAAAAAAAAAAAAACGTCACGTGGGGACCACTGATATTGTACATGGGGACTAGTGATGCGTTACGTGGGTGCCACTAATCTGTCACGTGGGGGCCACAGTTGTGTCCCGTGGGGGCCCCCGATGAGCTTTGCGCGCGTGCCTTGAGAGACAAGAGTGCCAGCTGAACTATGCACAGCACACTGAACACTTGTAGGGCGCTGTGGAACTGTGTAATGCGACGATGTGGCTGAGACTTGAAACAGATAGATAGAGGGACTACTAGTTGCTGTATGACACGTGGGGGATACTGTAGGTCACATGGGGGCTCCTACGTACTGATTTTTACGAGGGCCATTATCTAGTGTCTTAAGGGGGGCCACCGGTGTGCCACATGTGGGCCACTGATTAGTCACTCGGGTGTCATCGCTGGTGCGTCACGTGGGGGGCCACTAGTGTGTCACGTGGGGGCCACGGATGTCACGTGGGGGCCACTGCTGTGTCACACGGGGGCCACTAACAAGTCACGGGTGCGTCACTAGTATGTCACGTGGGGGCCACAGTTGTGTCACGTGGTGGCCCCCGGTGCGCCCGACGCGCGTGCCGCGAGAGACGAGTGCCAGCTGAACTTCGCACAGCATACTGAACATTTGCAGAGCGCTGTCGAGCTGTGTAATGCGACGATGAGACTGCGGAGCTAGGAACTGAATAGATAGAGGCCTCTGCTTTCTATGTGTCACATGGGGGCTGGCTGGCTACTAAAAGTCACGAGGGCCACTGTCTAGTCTCTTAAGGGGGCCTCTCTCTAGTGGGTCACGTAGGGCCACCAGTGTGCCACATGGGGGTAACTGGTATCACGTAGGGGCTTAGATTAATAAAACCTAGATAGATAGTCAGTGCACGAAAGGTGAGGCAGTTTTTAGGGAGCCGGCACGGCTTACCCGTAAACGTCACATGAACTGTCAAAGTGAAAAATTGGTAAACACGTCCGACGAATTTTAATTAATTAAAATGGTTTGTGCTGTGAAAGGGTGTCTAAAATACATCAGAAAAACGAAAGAAAGTGACCAGTGTTACATTTCATAAGTAAGTACTACAATTCGACGCGTATTTTGCTTGAATTTGGCTTTCAAAAATTAAATACGTTAATGATACCAGTAACAAGAAAATTTATTTCCCAATTGTTCGCCGTACAAATACACTTTCTTTTTTATGAAATCGAGACTTAAGTCGATTTATCTTATTGTTATTAGGTAGGTTACTTTGAATTCAATAAATAAGTAAGTACACGATGCGTTTTGTTTTATTAATTATAAAATAATTAAAAACGTATTAAAAATTTCCCTACTTTCGGGAAAATCGCCTTCACTGTCTACACTCCCCAACAAAATTGACACTAATGACATAAGATTTTTGCCTCACTCTTGACGAAGCGTTTGTATGAAGACTATCCATCTAGGTTTTATTAATCTAAGCGTAGGGGCTATTAGTGTCACGAGGGGAGGGGGCTATTGGTGTTACGTGGGGGCTATTGGTGTCATGTGAGGGCCACTGATTGGTCACGGGGGCCACCAATGCGTCACGTGGGGGCCACAGTTGTGTCCCGTGGGGGCCCCCGATGCACCCGGCGTGCGTGCCGCGAGAGACACGAGTGCCAGCTGAACTTTGCACAGCACACTGAACACTTGTAGGGCGCTGTGGAACTGTGTAGTGCGACGATGTGGCTGAGACTTGGAACAGATTAGATAGATAGAGGGACTACTAGTTGCTGTATGACACGTGGGGGAAACTGTAGGTCACATGGGGGGCCACTAGTTACTGTCATGTTGAAGCCTTTGGTTACTAATTCACATGGGGGCCCCTACCTACTGATTGTCACGAGGGCCATTATCTAGCGTCTTATGGGGGCCAGCGGTGTGCCACATGAGGGCCAATGGGGTCACGTGGGGGCCACTGATTAGTCACTCGGGTGTCGTCAGTGGTGCGTCACGTGGGGGTCACTAGTATGTCACGGGTGCGTCACGTGGGGGCCACAGTTGTGTCACATGGGGGCCACTGTTGGGGTCACACGGGGGCCACTAATGCGTCACGTGGGGGCCACAGTTGTGTCACGTGGTGGCCTCCGATGCACCCGGCGTGCGTGCCGCGAGAGACACGAGTGCCAGCTGAACTTTGCACAGCACACTGAACACTTGTAGGGCGCTGTGGAAGTGTGTAATGCGACGATGTGACAGCGGAGCCTGGCGAGGTTCTGAAACAGATGTATTTCCTTTTATTTTAAACCTTCGTGTACCTGTTAAAATAAAAAAAATCCGTAGTAAGCTACCACAGATCACAGAAACTAAAGAGGTGACCAGGAGGCGTGGCCGGCGTCGCAGCAATATGCCCAAAAACAGAACACATGTCTCGTGAATGCAATGATGACAGCAGCGACGTCATAATGTAAACAGTTTACATTGCTTGCGTAGTACTAAAGATTATTCGTACGTTGAGTACTGATACCGCAGTGGCAGAGCACATATTTTGATTACTTTGAGTGCGTGAATTTCTAATGCGACACTGAGTTTCGAACTCAGCGCATTAGTTGACAGTAAAATGATAACCACAAGTTTGTATACGACACAAAAGTCTTCTAGTTTGCGCAGCCTCTAATGGCGCAGTTACACAACGCGCAAGTTGATCGAATCAGATAGTGTGAACACACAGTTCAGTTGTTTCGCTGTGTGTCGCCCATAGTTACGTGCGCGTATTCGCACTTGTGTCCGATGAAGGTCACGCATAGTGTAACTGCGCCATAAAGGAATTATAGTTCCAAAATACTGGACTGTCCTGTCGATGACATTGACAGTGGGGCGCCACCGTCTATACCGGATCGCTGATTCAGATTTTTGCCATGTTGGAAACCATATAGTTGAACGATGGTAGCGCCCCCCTGTCATCGAGTTTGGTGGGACAGTTCAGCGTGGGTCATCTATATTAGTGTGTGTCTGGCCTGCTGTCAACTGGTGTCAAAGAGTGTCAGACTCACTCTAGCGCTTAACTGGGTCAGTGCCTGAGGTATGGGAGCGACACGGGAGTAGTGACATTGACATAATATTATAACGTGACAGAGCATACAAATCTGAAGTTTCGCTGACGTTAGAAGTCATAAAAACACTCTTCCGTGGCGTTCCTATATAGAATCAATGACAGGGGGGCGCTACCATCGTTCAACTATATGGTTTCCAACATGGCAAAAATCGGAACCAGCGATCCGGTATTGACGGTGGCGCCCCACTGTCAATGTCATGGATAGGACAGTTCAGTATTTTGGAACTATACCTCAGGCACAGGCTTAGTTAAGCGCTAGACATAATAATATAGTGGCTAGGGTCAAGCGGTGTAAGACTCACGTCAAGTGTGTGATTTAGGCGCTAAATGTCAAATCTATAAAAACCTAATTAATTTATGATATTTTATTTTGTTGATTAGTTTAACCGTTGAATTAATAAAATAAAGTATTAGTTAGGTTAGATTAGGTTAAGATTTTTATGGATTTGTCATTTTGCGCTTTTGACATTTTGCGCCTGTAGCCGCTAGCGACCACAATAAAAATCGTCTTGCAATAGAAACAATGAATGTTTGCAGCCGAAGCCACAAGCAACTTTCCTCAACACTGAAAAAACTCCTCAACACTGAAAAGTAGGCAGGCTATACACCACACACCAAACCTAGGCCTGCTACACGCCTAAATCGTTACTAAGTGGTTAGTGTCAGTTGGTTGGTGGTGTCAACTGGTGTCAAAGAGTGTCAGACTCACCGCAAAATGCTTCCCACAGTGGTCGCAAAGGTGGCTAGTACTGTCTATGTTGTGCACTCGCTTGTGGAGGTACAGTGTCGTGTGGCTCTTGAAAACCTGGGAAATAATAATAAATTGTGTTAACCCAATAATAGTAACACACGAGATGGACAGACGACCTCATAAAGGTGGCAGGAAGGCGCTGGATGCAGGCCGCTACCAACCGGGCGATGTGGAAGTCATTGGGGGAGGCCTATGTTCAGCAGTGGACGTCCTGTGGCTGAAATGATGATGATGAAGTCGGTCCACACTACGCAAATGCTTCGGCTCGTCTAGCGTATGCCGTATCGTAGTGTTCAGTAGCCTGAGTGTGAGTTTACATCAAACGCGTTTACAAAATGTATGAAAATTTTAGTTGTTGATAGTTTCCCGCTAGGGGCGCTGTACAATCCGTCATACATTTAATGTCATTTTTTGACGCGCTCGCTAGTGAGCGCGTTTGAAAAAAACAAACTCAGCCCTCAGTAGTTCTTGCGTGAAAGAGTAACAAACATGAATCCATCTTTAGAAACTATCACATTCTTAATATTTGTAGGATTAAGCGGCCGCCCGCGATTTCGTACGCGTGGATCCCGTTTTACCCCCTTAGGGGTTGAATTTTGCAAAAATCCCGTCTTAGTGAGCACCTACGTTCTAAAAGGAACCCCCATGCAAAATTTGACTCCTAACACTTGTAGTTTCTGAGATTTCGTGATGAGTCAGTGAGTCAGTCATTCAGTGACCTTTGGCTTTTATAGGTAGACTAGCGACCGCCCGCGACTTCGTATGCGTGGATCCCGTTTTACCCCCTTAGGGGTGGAGTTTCGTAAAATCCTTTCTTACCGGATGCCTACGTCATAACATCTACCTGCATGCCAAATTTCAGCCCGATCCGTCCAGTGGTTTGGGCTGTGCGTTGATAGATCACTATGTCAGTCAGTCAGTAACCTTTAGCTTTTATAGATAGATTTAATTTACCTTCTGGCAGACATCACAGGTGTGCACGAAGTTTTTAAGGTGTTCCCAGTTCACGTGGTCTTTTAACCGGGTCTTGTTGGCGAATCGCTTGCCGCAATCGCTGCACATGTACCTGAAAATGTATAAAGATTGAATTAATTCATTTAAATTCGAAAAACTAATTATAAAGCGCTGGTAGGGTCCAAAAGATAAGGAGACATGTAAAGTGCCCCATAAGGGCCACCTTTTCTTTTTTTATTATTTACTATATTTTGACGTCCATAAGTGCCACTTGTGGTCTAAACTGAATAAATATTTTTGATTTTGAGTTTAAAAAACTGAAATAACATCGTTCGTTCGATCGTTTTCAAGCCGGGTCCAATTCGGGAATTCTACGAGTGGACGGCACTACGAGCTTTACATGTAATGTTTCTATTACATTACACGATGCATTCCATTACGCGTTAAACCCGTCTGCACACGGCTTTGGCCGAATGACGTCCGAATGATGATGTTAACTCACTTGAAGTCGTTTTCGGAGACGTGTTTCTTGCTAATCTTCATGTGCTGGTTGTACGTCGCTATGGAAGAGAAGGTACGATTGCACGGCTCGCAAACCAGCTCACCCTTGGCTCTGTAACAAAACAGATTAAATCAAAGATAATTTGAGCATGTAGCTAGTTTTGCAAGGCACACGAATAGCACTTAGCCTCTTGATTGGGCCATAATACTGGCAACTAGTGGTGACTGAGTTTGTTCCGGTGTTTCTTCTCAGCACTTGCCATATGTTTGTCTCGAAGCGCTGGTAGGGCCCAACAGATAAGGAGACATGTAAAGTGCCCACTAAGGGCTACCTTTTCCTTTTTTTTACTGTATTTTGACGTTCTGGAATGGAGGCCGCGTACCGAAAAACGCAGCGTGGAACGCCTTTAGTTAATTAAGGAAGAAATGAGCGAGACACCTCATCATTTCAGTATAGTAAGCTAGATCGGGTTGTAGTGGTTTTTGTATAAACTCGATTAATGCTGGATTTCTATATTCAATCTTAATCCAAATTGGACGGATTTGGATTGTCAACTGTCAAATTTTAAAATGTTTTTGGCCAAAATATCTGCGGTTTTTGAAGTTTTTACATTTTTATATTGTTTATAAGACTATTTAAACAATATTAAAGTGTAAATGCGTCGAACATTTTGGAAATATAATCTAAAACAGAATTCAATTTGACAGTTGTAATCCGGATTTGGACAAGGATTGAATATAGGAATCGGGCGTTTGGATACGTTAACCGATGAGCGAGTGAGCAGAGACGTGTGGTGGGTGGTCCGACACGCCTGTCAAGATAGAACAAAATGGATTGGCGCGACGAAACGATTTAGCAACCTACTCGACAAAATGTTTGGTGAGCAGACACATTTAGCTACATACGAGGGGCGGCTGAAAATTTCGCGGCCTAAGGTACTTAGCGATGAGTAATTAGCTTGTTACTCATATCACTAGTTGCGACACTCAGTAGTATTATAAAAAAAAAGCAATCACTAATTAAGTTTGCACTGATAGTTCAATTTCTATCGAACAAATGACATCACCATGTCCGCCGAATCTGGAGATTTGCGGAATTTCGACACCGCGCGCCGCGGACATAATTCCTCGTAAAGAAGGAAAATAGACCGAAAGACATTTTTGAAGAGATGTCATTGGTTCTTCAGGATTCTGGACCTTCATATACTATGGTTAAAAAATGGGCCCGACTATTTCAACACGGACGAGAGACCTGTGAAAACGACCCCCGCCCTGTCACGATACTGAGTGAAGGAAACGTTCAAAAGTCGAAAAAATCGTTCCGGCTGACCAAAGAATTAAATCGTGGCAGATAGCTGAAGAATATTTCTTTATGTTCGCGAGGCTATTGTACAGAAATGACGGGGGAAACTGACACGCGGATTGCTCTTTCCGCAAGACAACGCGCCCGTTCACGCCGCACGTGTTGCGAGGCCAAGCCCTGAAAGACACCGGGTTCTCAGAGATTGGCCACCCACCATATAGCCAAGACCTAGCGATATTTTCCTGTTTTTCGATTTGAAAATGGACTTACGGGGACGGAGATATGCAGATGACAACGAAATTAAAGCTGCGGTTGGTCGTCATTTTGAAAAAAAAAATTTTTGGGTGGGTAAAAGGCATTGTATGCGAGATTTAAGAAATGTATTTCTTTTGAGGGAGATTATATGTATTACAAAATAAAAAATAGAAACAATTTATTTTATTTCATTAAGTACCTTAGGCCGCGAAATTATCAGCCGGCCCTCGTAATTACTCACTGCTCGCCTAAATTACTCGACTACGGGACTATTCCCACCTCTCGTTCCCAGCGCTGCAATCTATATCTGTGGCTGCAACTCCTGTGTAGCCAGGATCTACAGCTTGACCGCCACAAAAACCCAACCAATGAATGTCAAGTTTGTCCCGGGGGAAAGTTAAACTGTCATTGGACCCGCAACGAAATTAATCAGAAGAACATAGGAGGAGTTCGAAATTAAGGTTCGACTTCATTGCAAAGCGGATGACAGGTGACAAACAAAGGTTTAAAACCTTTAAGAAAAGATTATGCACCACGGACAATAAATTACTCGACTAACTAGTGAGAACTAGGTTTAAGAGTAAGCTAAATATCTTTACTACTTACCTGGCAGCGTGGCTGTGCATAATATGTCACAAGAGGTTCCCCTGCTATTGAAAACTCTGTTTTTACGCGACTATGAGCACTCCTGTCACTATAAATAAGGTCCAAATACCTAGCAGCGTGGCTGTGCCTATGTCGCAAGAGATTCACCGCTATTTGAATATCCCTTCCCTTACGCGGCTTAGCTCTCTCCCACAAATAAGGTTCGAGACTTTCAAATTAGAGATTACCAAAGTTTCTCCTGAAATTAAATTTTGAAAATATTTTTTTGTTTTTTATCGGGGACCGAACCAGGATTCCTTGGATGTGAAGCGAGTCGCGCGCCTTCGAGTCAACTCCCCCTTTATTTATACGGACGAAATTCCTTATCACTTACCTCGCGGGAACTGTTCACGGCGCCTTGAACTCTCTCCCCCTATAAATAAGGTCCAAATTCCCACATACCTGGTAGCGTGGCTGTGCATATGTCGCGAGAGGTTCCCCCGCCATTGGAAGGTCTTCCCGCACTGCGCGCAGGAAAACCTCGGCCGCGAACTGTTCACGGCGCCCTTGATTTTCTCTATATGGGCTTGCTGCTTCTCTGGGGGCGTAGAGTCGGTTGGGAGAGATTCTTTTAGTTTCCTGGAAGTTTGAAGACGAATAAAGTTTTTATACAGCTTATAAATACACTCATACATTATTACTAAAGTCCGGTCGCTGAGTAGAATTTCGTCCAATGACCCCAAGCTACCCATCCTTATCGCTCGCGCGTAATTATATTGCTTTCGCACTCGCACACTCATTGCGGCCGCCCGTCGTCAGCAATATAATTACGCGCGAGCGATAAGGATGGATAGCTTGGGGTCAGGTCATTGGACGAAATTCTATCTGCTCGGCGACCGGACTTTAGCTGTGCCCTTCATACTCGTGAAATTAGTTTGAATAATAATATGCCCCGTTTTTGAAACATTCCCGTCTTCATAATCGAAAAGATTTTATCATCGCGTGCAATCTAGCCCGGCTGATGATGACAATGATGATGAAATTGAAATGATTGACTGACTCACTCACTCATCACGAAATCTCAGAAACTACAAGTGCTAGGAGTATCAAATTTTGCATGGGGGTTCCTTTTAGAACGTAGGTGCTCACTAAAACGGGATTTTGCAAAATTCAACCCCTAAGGGGGTAAAACGGGATCCACGCGTGCGAAGTCGCGGGCGGCCGCTAGTTTTTCATACAATGGAATACTTACCAAAGTTTCAGTTGTACTTGATGCTTCAAACTTGCTTTAACGTGCTTCTGAAGGTTGGAAGTGGTGGTAAATGATAGTCTGCCAATAAAAAAACGTTATTTTAATATTATAGGATAGATTTTAATAGATATAGACGCAGGCCCCTACCAACCGGGCAACATGGAAGTCATTGGGGGAGGCCTATGTTCAGCAGTGGACGTCTTGTGGCTGAGATGATGATGATAATGAATATTATAGGTACAGACAAACTTTGGCTAATTAATAAAAGTTACATGCGCGTTGAACATTTTAATGTAAAGCTGTTACATCACCTAACTATAACCATAACTACAACGATAACCGGTGTTTTTATTGAATTTGACAGATTTTTGACGTTAGTTAAAGTAAAAGATGGTGTAACCCAGACTTAAAGTCTGCAGTCTGCGGGGTGTGTAAATGAATCTACCCTACAAAAATACTTCGCAACTACCCTACAAATAAATTGTTTACCTGCAAGGCTCGCAGTAAGGCCGCCTCTTCTGCCCAGTTTCGATCCTGTGTGTCTCCACGTGCTTCCTAAGTGAAGTCTTCCATTTAAACGTCTTGTCACAGAAGTCACAAGGAAAGGATTCTTGCTTTACACTGAAATATGACTTTAATATTAAATAAAACCATTTCAATGGGGTATTTTTTGAAAAGTAAAGAGTTTTTATGAGGCTAGTTTTCTAAAAATCTTTTTAGTCCGTCAATTACAGTATCAAAAAATATTGAACATGTATATTTTTATTTGTCAATCAAACAAGTAATTACGAAGTTGTAGTGCGTTGAAGTTCGAAGACGTCACAAAGTGCTACACTTTTAAGCACTCCATGATGTCGAGGGCCTTTTCTTCAATTTCCATTAGTTTGAAAAGTGAAAAATACAACTCAAGACGTCAATGCAGACAATGTATACAAACACAAATCTTTGCTAGTTTCGATGGCCTCAACTATCGTTTAGTGACCAATAATGCAAAATTCATACCTTTCGTTCGATTCCAGAGTCTCGTTAGCTTCAATATTTTTGTTTTCCACATCCGTATTTGGCTCTGGTTCTGAACTGAAATAAAAAATAACATTGGATGTAATAATCAAGTTCAATATTCATTATTACTATAGTCTGGTCTGTGAGCACATAGAATTTCGTCCAATGACCCCAAGCTACCCATCCTTATCGCTCGCGCGTAATTATATTGCTGGGGTCATTGGACAAATTCTACGTGCTCGGCGACCGGGCTTTATAAAAGAGAAAGATTTACTGTCACGGTGACAAAAAAAAAGTAACACAGGCAAATACTGGTATTAATTAAAACCTTACCTATGACAGTGTGTGCTCTGATAATGTCTGGTAGCCGCCGCCACGCTCCTCAGTCTCTCTCCACAAACCAAGCACTCGTACCGACGTGTATGCTTGTTGGAGTGGTAGTTGGACGACACTTCTCTGGTGAACGTGCACTCGCATATGTTGCATATGAAGTTTGATTTGTTCTGAAATTTAATAAAAAAGCGAAAGGTCACTGACACTGTCATTGACAGACCCTATATTGTTGACATTCCACCAGCTCGCACTAAGCGTTTCGATGACTCTTATAATGCGAACGGTTAGGGACTGGAATTTATTGCCTGCTGCTGTCTTTCACGAAGACTATAATCCGGGCCTTTTCAAGGCGAGAGTGAATAGGCACTTGCAGGGCAGATATGTACCATCCTAGACTGAATCCCAATTAACATCAGGTGCGGTTGTGGTCAAATACCTGCCTTGTTATGCATAAAAAAAAGACTCATCACGAAATATCAGAAACTACAAGTGCTAGGAGTCTCAAATTTTGTATGGGGTTTCCTTTTAGAACGTAGGTTCTCACTAAGATGGGGTTTTGCAAAATTCAACCCCAAAGGAGGTAAAACGGGATCCACGCGTACGATGTCCGGGCGGCTGGTAGTTTTAAATATGGTAACCCTCATGCTTAAGCTATTGAATCTAATATTGTGTAGCATAATTTAATTTTCTGCAACTCTTGTGAAGCAAGGATCTATACCTAGACTACCAATGCAATCAAACTAGTGAATGCCAAATACACTCAACATCAAATAAACCGCACCTTCCGCGACGCGAACTTTAAAGATTTTCTTCTGACACAATCATGGTACCCCAACAATATTGGTGTTATTTGAAAGCCCAATAAATATCCTTAAAGTAAAATACATTTCATTTCTAAATAAATGATTAACATTTACCATAAATGTGGCTTAAAAATAGACCTCACTTTGAGCTCACCTCTGGAATCAATTAGACCAATTTTTATGGTTATAAAGATCTCACGTGTCCTCTTTAACAGATGGATAGCGATTAATTCCAACTTAACAGTTTTATAGTCATAAAAAATGGCTATAGCGTAACTACCTATTTTTTGAAGAAGTGACTCTGGATCCCTGACACATTTTTGGGGTAAAAACCTTTCCTTTAATGAAATGAAGTTTAGAACTAGGCTTTCAAATGGTACCAACCAATGTTGGTGGGAAGTGGGGATGCATACGTTTGATAAGTGCTTGTCGCGGGAGGTGCGATTTATTTGATGCCGAGTGTAGTTACAGAGATAGATTGCTACTCATAAATACCCTATTTTCAAATTGGGTTAGGGACTTTTAATACTTTTACATCTGTTCAGTCAGCATTTTTTACCATAGGGATCACTTAAAAATTAGGGATTGATGGTAAAAACGGGCTAGACTCTAAGCTAGAATATTGAAGATTATACTTACTTTATCATGTTTTATGCTGATATGGTCATTTAAATCATCTGCGTTAGGGAAGGAAATAATGCATCTCTCACAGCGAAACATAGCGTTCACATATTCCTCTCTACTTGCCAACATTCGTCTCTCTTCTGCCAATTCTTCTGCGCTCAATTTAATTTCTTTTATCAATTCCACATTTTCGTCTTTTTTCCTACGTTTCTTCTTTTCTTTTCCTACCTTTTTCTTCTTGGTCTTTACCTTTGATGGTGTATCGTTTTCTACTAATGGTATATCGTTTTCTACTAATGGTATATCGTTTTCTACTAATGGTATATCGTCTTCAATAATATCAGAATATGTAGATACGTTGTCTTCTTCTTTTATTGGAGTTTCATCTACTTCTTCATCTTCATCTTCGATTTTGACGTTTTCTTCGGTGTATTCTAATGCTGTATTCGTGTTGATTGAGATTTCTATCTCTTTCTGTACGGCTAGTCTAGGAGATATCTGTAATTCTGTTGTACTTAGATTCTGAAATATTAGGAATTTTGATTAATAAAAAATTAATTTGATAGAAAAAGTATCAACATGGTATTTTTTTGTGTATTATTTAACCAAAAGATTGAATTTTTGGATAGTCATCTTCATTCTTATGTGTAAGGTGTAACATAATGTTTTATGTATAAAAAATACCTGTACATTATTATCATAATAAAAATCCCTACTAATATTATAAATGCTGTCTGTCTGTGTGGCTTTCACACCTAATCCACTGAACCGATATTGATGAAATTTGGCATAGAGATAGTTTGAGTCGTGGGAAAGGACATAGGATAGTTTTTATCCCAGTTTGTTAAACAGGGACTCGCGCGATAAAGTTTTTCTCTAACAGACAAAATTTAACACGGGCGAAGCCGCAGGCAAAAGCTAGTAATTAATAAATCAAATTAAATACCAGTGCAACATAATCGTTAAGCAGTTTATAGCACTGCTTGATTTGGTTCTTGAACCGTGTAAACCGACTGAGCATGGCGGTGCACTCCCAACACAGCCTGAAGTCTTCTGCAGGTAACGGCATCTGTAGAAAAAAATAATTTAGTTACTAAGAAAAGGACAACGATACAAAGCAACTTATATTTTTAAACAAAACAAAATTATGGCACCAAATTGGTCTCTACTCAGATAAAGGTCAAGTATTTTCTTAATTGATTATATTCCACTCCCTGTTACCTACTAAATAAGCCAGAATTCTACAGAGTACCTACTAAAAGTTACGTCTTCTGCTGAGTCTGGTGGCGCTAAAAGTGAAAGTCCCTGAGTGCCTAAAATTTGGTCAGTATTGTGAGATAAAAATAGAGCTAGTCCTTAGGTATCAAAAGTAAAATCACTTGAGTAAGTGAGAGTATGGATTGCCTGCCTAAAACTAGATCCAAGTGCCATAGGTCACTCAGTGCCAAAAGTATGATCAATAAGTTAATTTCAGCCAAAAGACGTCCACTGCTGGACAAAGGCCTCCCCCAAGGATTTCCACAAAGACCGGTCCTGCGCCGCTTGCATCCAGGCACCTCCCGCGACCTTCACCAGATCGTCGGTCCAACTAGTGGGAGGCCTGCCCACGGTACGTCTTCCAGCTCGTGGTCGCCACTCAAGAACTTTCCTGAACCTTTCACTCAAGATCAATAAGTACTGAGAACTAAAAGTTAGGTGAAGGACTTCTTTTATGTGTCAAAAACTGTATCCTTGAACCCTGCTGAACATCAAACAAAAGTTAGACCTTTGGTACCTACCACAAGCCACAAGTTGTATTCCTTTAGAGCAAAAAGCCTACTTCTTTTTGGATATTACAATATAAAACATAAGTTTACTACATGAGTTGTTAATTTATCTATCTTGAAATGTCTTTTTTGTAACATTTATCGATCGATTCTGGCTAGTTACTATCCACACAATAAAGCACTTTCGATTTAGTTAAAATCTGAGCATTTTGAATTAAACCATATCGCGCTCGGTCAGTCCACTCGGAAAGTAATTTTTAATTAATAATTTAATAATCTTACCGGAATTTCGTTAACAATTTGTATAAAAGTTTGCCTCTCCCAAAATTCTTCGATTGCCACCATTCTACGGCCAGCGCATAAGCAACCACTACATAATGTATTTTTGTCCATGATTATTTATTTTATAATTACACTGATACAAGTTAATTCATTTATTTTGGGGTTTTTTATGAAAAAAACAGAAAAATTTGGCTCGTATGGACCAAACCACGACCAAACAAAACAAGCTGTCAAAAAAATACTGCCTTGCGTTTTGCTTGGTTTTGCTACTAATTCTTGCAAACTATTTTAACGACAATTTTATACTTGAATCGTATTTTAAAATTATTGAGAAGAATAAAAGGAATTAAGGAATCTTTCTGTTTTCTAGTTTAGACATTTTTAAGGGTCAATTTTCTTATTTTAGCAGTTAAAATAGCCATAGTTTGGATGTAACTGTGATCAAAACGCAAGATTTGCGTTCCAATATACGCGTTATTGTATTGGATCGGCTTTGAATGGGCTTACATTATAAATCTTAATGCGTGTAAAGAAATAGTTAGTTGTTCTGAGAAAGTTGTGCGAAATGTGTGAATTTGATTTTTTACGAATTTATTTATATAACACGTGAATTAATTAATTCTAACGCAATGGAGCCCAAGTGCGATCAAGATATAATACAAACTATGTGGAAACAAAATGTGTGTTTGTGTTGTTTGGCCAAAAATGTACAATTTGTTACTCTGAGAACTTGTAAACATACTAGTTTTTTCGAGTTTTTCTTCAAGTTTAAGGTAAACAATTATCTATATTTCCTAAATTATTTTAACTAAGTGATTTATCAATGAAATTGGTTAGATATTTACTGAAAACACTACTTTTATTAAAAATCTTGTCGGCATCAAATGTTGATAGAATTTCGTTTTAACGCTATATTAATCTAAGGTTTTAATGCTACTCGAATATCATTTCGCTGAAATTCAAATGAATCATTTTTTCAAAAGTTTCTTTTTCTTTTTGAATTCTATCAAAGTTATAGCTGTAGCGAACGAACGAACGAAATTAATGCGCTTAGATCAATAGAAAAGATGGTCGAATCGAAAATGGCGACTGGCGTAGCGATTAGTACGTTGGTTGCGGTTGCGTTGACGTAAAAGCTTAGATGAATCTAAGCGTAAAAGATAACGAATGCATTAAAATTTTTTAGTTTTCATTCCATTAGAGTAGATAGAACTTATTTATATTAATGTTAGTGATACATATTAATTTTAAATGTGAATTTAAAAACAATATTCCTATTTATCACCTTAACCCTTTAACTAGTATAGAGAAAAATATTTTTCATTGGTTTTAAACCTTATATCATCCCAATAAAGTTCAAAATATGGTGGCAATAATTGAGCCACTATCGGAAAAGGGACTTAGGAACTTAGCTTCTGCATAATTATTATCGGAAAGGTTATGAAACAAAAATATTAATATTGTGCCATTGAAAGAATATTACTAATTTTACTTAATCCGACAAATTACTAAAATAGTTAGCTAAGTTGTTACAATATAATAAATGAAGAACTTATTACACTATAACTAGTGAACTGTTTGGTGTAGTGGTTCGTAACAGACTACTCTGTCAGAGGTTGCGGGTTCGATTCCCGCACAATGCAAACATTTGTGTACATTAATACAGGGTGTTACTTTGCATTCTTGCCATATTTACAGAGGTTACTATATTATTTATTCTAACACAAATCCTAAAAAAAATAATGCCCGCAATTTTTTTTTTTTTAATCTTGAGTATTTTATTTTATCGACAATCTGTTAAACACATCACTAATTATCGTAACGCATGCACATCACTTGTTGGCGATGGCGATGAAGACTTTTTTACTTTTTATTGTATTTTTAAATATCTATTGCAATCTATTGTCTTTATAATGTCTTTTTGACACTTGTAAAAAACTGAGAAATCCATCAATCACAAATCACGTTAAAAATAATACAAAAATGTCTGAAGTGTATTCAAACAACGAATAATTTAATCAAAATGGTGCTTGGAGTGTCTGCAAGACGTCTTAGACGAAATGCTTGATGACGTACCCTTAGCGTTACACCAAATGCTCTACTACCAGCAGGATGGTGCTCCCCCACAATAAGGACGTCAAGTGCGCGAATAATACGTTTGGTGAACAGTGGATTGGACGAGGGGTCCAGTAGCTTGGCCACCACGATCCTCGGACCTGACACCAATGGATTTTTGGAGTGACTTGAAACGACTGGTATGCGCAGAAGAGATAAACAGTGTAAAAGAGTTACATGAAAGGATTGTTTTAGTGAAACTGTGAGACAAAACGTTTATGCGTTGCGAAAACTAAAGTGAAAAACCTACGCTTCGCCGTGCTAGACTGTGCCTTCATCAGAAAGGAGGACACTTTGAACACTTGCTGCGCAGTACGTAAACTTTGTAAGTAGGAACTTATAAATAAATAATTAATTGTGAATAAGGTGATTTCATTTCATACTTAATTTATTAATTTGTAAAAATAGGGTACAATGTTAAAATTAATTAAAACCCTAATAATTATTACGTATTTTTGACGGTCCTAAGCCCGTAAAGTAGAAAGGAAAATCTGAAATCAACTGAAGAGTATTTTAAAATAATTATTATGACTGGATAAAAAGGCTGGTACCCAGAGCCATAAAACAACAGATTATTAAGAACTAGGCCACGCCCACTAGGTTTATTCCACTTGCACCTGTAGAACGTGCGAGACAAAATGGGTTTATTCCAATTTGTACTGAAAAACCAAATTTACTAAAATCTTAGTGTACTTTCTTTATGGGAGTCTCTTGTTTATCTTAAATAATAGGTATTGTTCCCTACTTTTATCTCTGTGTATATGGCAAGAATGCAAAGTAACACGGTGTATATTCGTTTGTATTATTCTGGGTGATTGTATAATATTTAAGAATGTTTATTATATCCGTTGTCTGCTACCCATAGTACAAGATTTGGCTTAGTTTGGAATTTGATGACCATATCTAAAGATACTATAAATCAAATACGCGCTGGTACCAGGTCAGCACATAGATTGTATTTACAGAGACGTCACACGGGTGTTGACGTTGCCTGTCATAGTGGCGTAACTTAACCCCCCTCTCGCAATGCTTCAGGACGATGGAGTAATCATTACCATCATATCAGCCATAGGACGTCCACTGCTGAACATAGGATTCCCCCAATGATTTCCATAATGATTGGTTGACAGTAGCCTGCATCCAGCGCCTTTAAGTAGTCATTTCTATTTGTTTCACAGTTCCAGTATCAGAATTCGGTGATATGCAATGAGTGTCACTACCACTTGAAAAGAATTGAGCTTTTCAAATCGCAAGTGGAAGAAAGCCTCAGCTTATTATGGAGTGGACAGGTAAAACCTAAAGCTATACAACTTAATCGAGCTAACTGAGCCCCGATTACGGTAATTTTTAACGTCTCCAATCCAGACACGCTTCTCGATTCTGCGATACGATTGGTCGTTCAACAGCGTACGTCAGCTGTTTTGACCAATCGTATCGCAGAATCAGAAGCGCGTCTGGATTGGAAACGTTAAAAGTTACCGTAATCGTGGCTCTGCGCACCGCGTTGGAATGCGACTCTCCCTCGCCGGTACCAGAGCATAGATGTGACGTCACGGCCGCCAGGTGTGCAGTTAACTCAAGCAGGTTGTACTAAATAAGATATAGATTTATTTACTTTATGACAATGAGTTCAATTATCTTATAAATACATTATTATTAAAGCCCGGTCTGTGAGCACGTAGAATTTTGTCGCGACCTAGCGACGAGCCGTGTGGTGACGGCAGAGTAGAATACATTTGTCACCAACCCCTACTCTTCCCGCGGGTGTCGTAAGAGGCGACTTAGGGACTACACAACAAACAGAGAATGGGCAGCAGCGCTCTCTGAAAAACATCAATCTTTTAAACTGCGATCTCCAACCCGCCTGCCAAGCGTGGAGATTATGGCAAATCCCTCCACCATAGTGGAGGAGGCTCATAGTCCAGCAGTGGACTGTAAAGGGCTGTTGATGATAGCGACGAGCGCCCGCAGTGAGTGTGCGAGCGCGAAAGCAACATAATTACGGGCGATAAGGATGGGTAGCTTGGGGTCATTGGACAAAATTCTACGTGCTCACAGACCAGACTATAGACTTAGCGGCATTTAGAACGTATGTAACGAATTACCACAGAGCGAAAACGCTGTTTCGAGGGTTCAATAAACCGAAACGCTATATCGAAATCGAATGTCTCGATGTCGATCCATTACTGCGTCGAATGGTTAACACAGCGAATGTAGCCCAGCGGAACCCTATCTATTCGTATAAGCCAAATGACGTCCACTGCTGGACAAAGGCCTCCCCCAAGGATTTTCACAATGACCGGTCTTGCTCTGCTCGCATCCAGGTTCTTCCCGCGACCTTCACCAGATCTACCTATATTGTTTCAATTTCTTGCAGCCACTACCTGCGAAACATCCAAAAATGTACCAAAACTTTGTCTGTACCGAACCGGATGTCACTAATATCGATGACCCTGAAGATGGCGACACTAATATAATAATCAAAACTGAACCAGAATCATGTTTCGCCGATGAAAATTTAGTAGAATTTGAGGAATACGAATATGAAGAACAAAATCCATTGGCGGATAATACCAAAGAAACGGAGTATGAGTTACAGAACGAGTTGAAAATAGAAGAGAAGTCCCAAGATTCGGACACGCCGTTATCACAAATTGTGACCGTGAATTTAAGAAATACTAAAGTTAGCGCGCAAATTAAGGCAGACACAAGAACATCATTTTTAAAGGTGAGTTAAGTCTTTAAAACAACAGACTTAGTCGGTCGATAGTTTGGTTTACTTTTACTTTAATGAGAAATCGGTAGATACCATATCGGTTTAATGTGCGCATTTTTATACGTATGCTCATACTGAATTACTGTTTAACATCCATATTAAACTATCTACTATCAAAAAGTAGTCTGTACCTCTAGCATGAACAACTTTCGTCTTCGAATCGTTTGCGTATTCGACAAAATTCGATACTCAAACTTCGGATTAAACGATAATGTGACAATTTTCATTCTCAAAATAAGTTTCATGCAACCATTTCTCATACTAATTCACTTTACGACTCGTTCACATGGGTATTGTATTTTTCGTACTAAATCTTTTGATGGCGTTTCGAATACGCAAACGATTTGAACTCGAAAGTTTTTCGTGCTAGCCGTACTGTAGGGACTCTTGCAAAAAAGGTTTACACGAAACTAAGACAATAGAAAGAAGAACGGTCACGCCCCATACAAAAAAAACCCAGACCCGACAGAAACGAGACATACCTCAGTTTTTTTGTCATGTCTTAATTAGTTAAATTATATATTTTTTATATTCGAAATCTATGTATAACACCAAAATATTACCCTTTGTTTTTGTTCAGGCGTTATACAAAAACTAATACAAAATGCCTATTTATCACCAAAATTGGTAAATGTATGTACCTAAATGTCTATTACAGCTGCTATGGAATGTATCTAGGTGACCTGGAGATTCTAGGTGACCTGGAGATACAGCCGGATTATACAGGGTGGAAACGAGAAGTTACAAAATCTAAAAATTCAATGTTACCAGCTTCCATAATCTGTAACCTATTATTGGTACCATTTGAAAGAGCTCGTGAAGCACTTTCAGAATCAGTAACTAGTTTTTCGATATCTTGTATAGTTTAGAAATAATCGAGTGAGATCACTTATCGTTCCATATGTATAACCACCCTGTATAATCCGGTTGTATCTCCAGGTCACCTAGATACATTCCATAGCAGCTGTAATAGACATTTAGGTACATACATTTACCAATTTTGGTGATAAATAGGCATTTTGTATTAGTTTTTGTATGACGCCTGAACAAAAACAAAGGGTAATAATTTGGTGTTATACATAGATTTCGAATATAAAAAATATATAATTTAACTAATTAAGACATGACAAAAAAACTGAGGTATGTCTCGTTTCTGTCGGGCCTGGGTCACAGATGACGGTTCTTCTTTAAATTCACAAATTATTAAATTTACAGGATGATGCGGTACATCTAAGAGCCAATTCATTAGAAGGTGGCGCACAAAATGAGAAGAATATACGTGGAGTGTAAGATAAACTTAGTTTTATTATTCTTACAGTACTGTTATTAATTAGTGAGTGTTTTATTCTAGTACTAGCTTTTGCACGCGGCTTCACCCGCCTATATGCCGCCACCTAGCCTATATGTTATTCTGGGTTATAAACATTAATACTGTAAAGTTTCGTCAAAATCCGTTTAGTAGTTTTTGCGTGAAAGACATCCAGACATCATGACATCCAGACATCCAAACTTTCGCATTTATAATATTAGTAGGATTTCTTTGTATACTCGTACAAAAACCACAATAGTGGTCAGCGAGGATCTAACTATAAGTTTACTAGCGCTTTAACTCAGTCAGTGCCTGAGGTATGGAAGCGGGACGATAGAGGTGACATTGACATATTATTATGACCAGTCCCCTTAGACAAAGTGCAAATTATAATCGCAAACCAGTCGAAAAGTGGTCGTAAAGCCCCTTTTTTGTATGGAGTTTTGACGGATTCGATTATCAATTCGATCAAAAACTGCGTTTTGTCTAGGGGGGCTGAGAGAGCAATCTGAAGTCTCGTTGACGTTTGATGTCACGTAAACACCATCTTGTGCCGGTCTCATACCTCGGGCACTTACCAAGTTAAGCGCTGGGCCATTAGTATTCCTACCCCCTAGACAAGTTGCACTTTTTGATCGAATCGAAAATCGAATCCGTCGACTCCATACAAAAGAAGGCCTTTCGACTATTTTTCGTCTGGTTTGCGATTATAAATATCTATCTATCTATAATGTCGTCGCTTGCCTCTCTAACTGACGTAATTGACATTGAGCAAAATTAGACAGATCGATTCGTCTTGCAAAATTGATTAAGATGATGTAGATAACTCAGTTTCGAAAAAAATGTCAGATACATCAGTTAGAAAGGCAAGCGACGATGCGATGTGCACTTTGACTAAACCCACTGGAATCACAAATCGACACTCCGATGGCTACACCTTTAGGCTATAGTCGCCTATAGTAGTGTTGTGACTATTCATTCTTTCTTTCTTTGTAAATAAAAGATAATTTTAAATATTTCAGCGAGGTTCCGATAGAGCATGGCAGGGTACGGTCCAGCGCTCTGCAATTCGCCAAAATGCTGGAGTTTATGGAAAAGTAAGTTATAATCATCATTTCAGCCATAGGACGTCCACTGCTGAACATAGGCCTCCCTAGAGATGGGTAAGTGCTAATAATCCGATTAATAGCAATTGGCTAGTAACGGATTAAAAGCAGTTATTAGCCATAAATAGCCAATAATAGCCGATTTCAGATGGTAACCCTGCTATTAATGTTATACTAATGATTAAACATATCCCTTCATAGTTTACAAATTTAGCACTTGAAATTTGGAAGGGACGTAGCTTAGGTACCGTAGAGGTGCATTAAGAAAGGAATACCCGAAATTCCAACGGGCACGGGAATTAGCGGGAAAATCCTTTTGTATGAAAAATCTAAACCGCTTAAGTTAGACGCTTGAAATTTGGCATGCAGGTACCTTAGTAAACTTAAAGCTTAGTTACAAGAGGATATTGCAAAATTCCCACGGAAACGGGAGTTAGCGGGAAAAAAACATTTGTATGAAAAAATCTAAACCACGTAAGATAGACAACTAAGCTTTAAGTTTACTAATGTACCTACATGCCAAATTTCAAGCGTCTAACTTAAGCGGTTTAGATTTTTCATACAAAAGGATTTTCCCGCTAATTCCCGTTCCCTTGGGAATTTTGGTAATTCCTTTCTTAGTGCACCTCTACGGTATTTAAGCTACGTCCCTTCCAAATTTCAAGTGCCTACGTTTAGCCGTTTAGGCTGTGTGTTGATCTGTCACTAAGTCAGTCAGTTTCTCCTTTTATTGTATAATATTTAGATTCTTTTTTAACTACAATGTCGTTTATATAAATTACATTGATGTTTTTTAGTTCTTTTTTGTTTCTTTAAGTAATATTTGATTTTAATATTGATTTGATTTTAAAAGTGGAAGAAAAAACGTAAGAAACTATTAATAGCAGGGTTAATAGCCAATGGATGGCTAATAATGGCTATTAATAGATAATAATCAGTTATTATCCAAACTAGCTGGCTACAAACCCATCTCTAGGCCTCCCCCAATGCTTTCCATGTTGCCCGGTTGGTAGCGGCCTGCGTCCAGCGCCTCTCTGCTACCTTTATGATGTCGTCGGTCCACCTTGTGGGTGGACGTCCCACGCTGTGTTTTCCGGTACGCGGCCACTCCAGAACCATTTGTATGAGGAATCGGCCGATACCAAATCGGTGTAGTGTGCGCACTTCCATATGATTAACAGCCCGACCAAAC